GGGAGTCTACGACGGGGGCCTCCTTCTGGACAACCCGGGGTTCACCCGGCTGCCACCGCTGCGGCAGGCGCTGCGGGCCAGAGCCGCGCCAGGCAGCCGCGTCTTCGACCTGAGCTACAACCAGAGGGCCCTGGTCTGCAGGCGTGCTGCGGCCGCGCTGCACCTCGGCGTCCTGGGACCGCCATCGCCCTACATCCTCCGACACGGAGGGGCCTCCCGCGAGTACCTCGCAAAGTTCAGAAGCTTCGACGAGACCAACCAGAGAGGGAGGTGGGTGTCGGCCTTGTCCCCACGGCGCTACACCAAAGGGGGCCGCGTGGCAGGGCTGATGCAACGGCTTCCAATCTCCGAGCAGCGCCGCGCCACGCGCCGGGACGGCACCATTGGCGGGCGCCTATCCAACATCTGGCTCGAGCTGTAGAGGCCGGCGGCCAACCCGTGTTCCTAGAAGTGTTCAGCGGGTCAGGGCGCCTCTCTCTGGCGTGGAGGCGAGTCTCCCACGGCGGCCTGGCCGCTTTTGAGCTGGACCTCAAGCACGACCCAGCGTCAGACCTTCTGCAGCGCAGAGTTCAGCAACGTGTTCGTGGATGGCTTCGGTCAGGCCTTGTTGCAGCTGTGTGGCTGGGCACGCCTTGTCAGTCGATGTCGCTTGCGCGCAACCGACCAGATGGCCCCCCCCCGCTCAGAAGCAGCTCGCACCCTCAGGGCCTCCCTGAATTGACGCCTGGTGATGCTCTGAAAGTTTTGCAAGGCAATAGGCTCTGTGCGTTCAGTTTTAGTCTTTTTGAGTTAGCGCTGTCCCTCGGGATCCCTGTTGGCCTGGAAAACCCGGGGTCCTCCTGGCTCTGGAAGCAACCGGTGGCTGAGAGAGTCTCAAAACGGTCCGGGGTCCAGCGCTTAACCGTGGACTTCTGCGCTTTCGGCACTCCGTGGCGAAAGCGCACTGCAATCCTTTATGCTAATGCTGACCTGTCGAGTCTGCGTCCTTTCAAGTGCTGCGGTAGAGGAATATGCTCGTTCTCAGGTAAAGCCCACATTGAACTCGCCGGTAAAGATAACGCCGGTCGGTTTCTCACGGCTGTCGCCGAACCCTACCCAAGTGTCCTGTGTGTACATATTGCTCGGGCGTTTCTCAATGCACATCGGAACCATGTGTTTCAGGGGATGCTTTCTAAAGTGGCCCCTCGCCTTTAAGTCGAGGCTCCAGACATATGGTTTCGGAGTTCTCCGATTTTGTGGTGTTGTGCTGACTGCCGTCGGTCTCGAGGACTGGCGCCTGATTGCATCCTCTCGCCTAGAGCTCTGGGCACCAGTAAGCACACAGATCAAGCCTTTGGTCTGGCCACCGTGGAAAAAGAGCTCCTCGGAGGAACAGATGGCAATGCGTGCATGTGAATCTTTTCTGAGAGTGCCTTGAGGACAGGGGGCCGCGCGTCGCAGCACGCCCGCTACCGATTGTGCTCAAGCTCCCCCCCGAGCCCACCCGCGGAGCAAAATCTACGCGAGGTGTTGTGCTGACTGCCGTCGGTCTCGAGGACTGGCGCCTGATTGCATCCTCTCGCCTAGAGCTCTGGGCACCAGTAAGCACACAGATCAAGCCTTTGGTCTGGCCACCGTGGAAAAAGAGCTCCTCGGAGGAACAGATATATATATATATATATATGTGTGTGTGTGTGTTTGTATGTGTGTATGTGTGTATGTGTGTATGTGTGTATGTATGTCTGTCTGTCTGTCTGTCTGTCTGTCTGTCTGTATGTATGTATGTATGTGTGTATGTATGTATGTATGTATGTAAGTATGTATGTAAGTATGTGTGTATGTATGTATGTATTTGTGTGTATGTATGTATGTATGTGTGTATGTATGTTTGTTTGTATGTATGTATGTATGTATGTATGTATGTATGTATGTATGTGTTTATGTATGTATGTATGTATGTATGTATGTATGTGTGTGTATGTATGTATGTATGTATGTATGTATGTATGTATGTATGCGTAAGTATGCGTAAGTATGGGCACTTGGTGGGGACAACTGTTTGACTATGTCTGACCATTTGGGTGGTCCTTTCCTATGATTCGCCCAAAAAATCCGCCTCTAGGGGGACATGCCCGACCCGGCGCTTGCGCTGCTTTTTTCCCTTGGCGCGTGGCCTTGGCCGGCCCGCAGCTCCGCTCGGGCTCGCTCCGCCCGGAGGAGGAGGAGGAGGAGGAGAAGGAGGAGGAGGAGGCGCTGCCGCGAGGCGCGCCTCTGCGCGGCGCGGGCCTGCCCCCGGGCGCAGGCCCCGACCTGGCGGGGCGAGGCCCCCGTTGTGGGCCCCCGGAGTTTCCCCATGTGGCCACGGCTGGGCCCGCTGCGGGCGACTCGAGAGCCTGCAGTGCCGTTTTTCATACATGCTCCGCGTGCGGATCACTCAGGAGGGAAAGAAACACACAGACACAATCGATCGTCCACTCCCAGGAAAATATGGGGAAAGATGGGAAGCGGGGGGGAAGACAGAAACCCAGAAAGTATGTGAAAATATGGCGATTTGTTTTATTTGTGTGTATTTATTTGTGTGTCCCAGGGCCCCTTCAATCACGCACTACAATGCAGGGATTTAGTCTTAAAAACAACGGTGAGTTCATGCATCAGTTTATGTATACATGAATCCTGTATTAAAGTCCTATAGTTTCAAAAATCCGATGTTTTAGAAACTGCCCTGTACGGAGCGCACCGCAGGAGAGGCACAGCGACTGGCTTCTGAGGAGGAGGAGCAGCAGCAGCAGCAGCATCGGAAGCAGGAGGGCAAAAAGCCTCTGGGCACTTCTCTCGGAGCAGAAGGACCCCTGGACTTCGCGCGGATTGGTTTGTTCAATCCCACTGGTTTTCTTTCATCTCGGCCTCAGGAGTGTTTCTGTGACTTTATGAGCCCTTGGGGCCCAAAGTTAATCTGGGGCGAAAATCGGGAGCCCTTGGATTGTCAGATGTCTGGGCACGTCATGGGCACTCACGAAATGGTTTGGGATGCGGCCCGTTTGGGTGTCGGAGGGGCCCGAGGTTCCTCGGGCCCGTCGGTGGGGCTTCCTCCGGGGTTCCTCGCGCGTCTGGGCGCAGTAGCGGCCCCAGAGGGCCCTCGTATCTTCTCCCAGGCTCCCAATGGCAGCAGGAGGGCTGTAGGGGGCAGGAGGAGGAGGAGGAGGAGGAGGATGAGGAGGGGGTGATCGGATTAGAAAGCCCAGGGTTCGCTAAGGATTGGCTTTCGCCCTAAATGATAAAAACCATGCGAAACCCTCCTAAAAGCTTCCTGGAACCCTTCCCAGAGGGCTTCTGGAGGGATTCGGGAGGGTTTATGCTGTTTTGAAAGGAGACCAATCCCTGGCGAACCCTGGATGCTCTAAGTTTAGGGCAGCGGCCGAACAGAGGGGGGGTCATGGGGGAGGGGGGGCGGCGGCAGAAGTGGAGAAGTGGCAGAGAGAGGTTCGTGTGTGTGTATACAATTACCCTGCGACGTACCCAACCCTTCTAAAAACAATTGAAAAGAACCGTTGGCCAAGATTATCACGGCGATGACATGGCAGAATACCGTCAATTATCGCGATAGCTGCATGGGAGGCGCACGCGTTGCGAGTCTACAAAACACCGATAAGAGGGCGACGCGGCCCGCGAGAAAGGAAGTCTAGCCCCAGGCCCCGTATCATCCAGAAAATGGCGACATAGCTTAACCTCGAGAGCATCACGTTCAGACGCAGCCACAGGACGTCTAGGTCGTTCGCGTCCATGTGCCCGGCGTTCACGGCAGCCTCGAAAGTGGCGACAGCCGTACACTTCGCAGTCCCCCAGGGATGGCGAGGTCGAATCTGACTCCGCGGCGGGTACCAACGATGCTGCCCCCCCCCCCAGCCCTCGAAAGTGGCGACAGCCTTGGACTTCGCGGCCCCCCAAGGAAGGCAGGGTCTAGTCTGAATTCGCCCAGGTACCCACCTATGCTGCCCCCACCAGCAGCCCTCAAAAGCGGCAAGAGTTCCACACTTCGCAGCCCCTCAGGGATGGCGAGATCTGAGCGGAAACTGCGCGGATACCCACTATGCTGGCCCCCCCAGCAGCCCTCGAAGGTGGCGACAGCCGTACACTTCGCAGCCCCCAGGGGATGGCAATGTCTAGTCTGAATCCGCGTTGGTATCCAGTATGCTGCCCCCCCCCCAGCCCTCGAAAGTGGCGACAGTTTCAAGCTTCGCAGCCCCCCAGGGATGGCGAGGTCTGAGCTGAAACTGCGCGGGTACCCACTGTGCTGGCCCCCCAGCAGCCCTCGAAGGTGGCGACAGCCGTACACTTCGCAACCCCCAGGGGATGGCAAGGTCTAGTCTGAATCTGCGTTGGCACCCACTTGCTCGAGCCGCCGAGCGTGGGAAGGCCCCAGAGGCTGGGGCCCGGCCCGACAGAGAGATCGGCTACGCGACTCGTTGGCCCCCCCTTTGCTATCCGCCCCCTTTCTCTCGCCCCGAGAGTCGGCATCGTTTTACCAATCCCCATCCCCATCCCCTTTCGAGACCCCCACCGAATTACCACCCAAGTTGGGGATCACCCCTCGAAGCCCGAAGGACACGGCCTATATCCCCATCTAGAGGGGTAAATCGGCCAGTGGGGCCCAGGCCACGCCGCTGAGGATGGGGATCGGTTAGACGATGCTCAGAGAGGGGGGTTCAAGAGACGAACGTTGCGAGGAGGGTCTCGGAGCCGCTGTCTGCAGGGTCGCAGAGGCTTCCAAGAGGGCATCAAGTGTGTGTGTGTGTGTGAAGACCGCTCCCCTCCTCCCTCTGCCCATCCATCCTGCCATCCTCTCGGCTCAGGTATTGGACAGCGTGCCCGATGGCCAGAGGGCCGCGAGAGGGAAAAGGACGCGTTCACTCTCTCATCTCATCCTCTACCAACGCATTCGACGGTAGGGTCGACCCTTTGTTCGTAACCTCCGTTCACATCAAGCGTCTCCCGCCGTGCCCGCGCACAGAACCTCGGGCCAGGCCACCATGGCCTGCATCGCTGACGTCCTCTCGGTCGTGAAGGAAATCGTGTCCTACGTGCTGCTCATAGCGATCTCCAAGGGCACCGCGGGCGATGAGAGGACGAGGCAGAGGATGAGCGAGGGGCCCCCCTGGCCCCCGACGGGGGATCAGCCTCACCGCGGCGGGGGTCGAGTGAGGATTGCCGCCGACCCAGGGGGGGGGGGCGCCCCATGAGCACTTATCATCCTAAAGCCCCCAGTCGAGGATAGGGGCGCAGAGGGGAGGGGGAAGTGAAGCAAGGAGAGAGGCACAGGGCGTGGGAGGGAGGGAGAGAGGGCAGGGAGGGAGGGAGAGAGGGAGGAGAGGGAGGGGTGGGAGTGAAGCAGGGAGGGAGGGAGAGAGGGAGTGAAGCAGGAGGAGTGAGGGAGGGAACGGAGGGCAGGCGTTGTGCGCCCCAGAGATGATGGCCCAGCGCTGTGCGCCCCAGGGATTCCCAGCGAGAGAGCGGGGGGAGGGGAAGGAGGCGCTGGACGCAGGCGGCTAGAGGGGCGAGCGGATGAGAGGGCACCCTGCGAACCTCGACACCGGCCAGCGCCGCATCCGAACCCCTCCCCGCGGGTCTGCACAGCACGCCACTCGCGCCCGCCCGTCCCAGACGCAGGCGCGCAGTGTCCAACTTTCGCTTGCGCTTGCGTTCGTGGGGCAATCGGAATGGAGGGGCCCTTACGTTCACGTGTCATGCTTGCTCCCTGTATCAGTGGCCGCCTCTTCTGCCCCCCTCAGATGCAATGACAGAGCGCACACGTTTATGTACCACCCTATTCGGCCGCGACTATTGTAGTCGCGACCTTTGCCCCCTCAACATGGGGCACAGAACCCTCCCTCAACGCTTGAATGGCGCGTGGGCCATTGACGCCAGGGCTTCCTGCTGACGAGACGACCCCGCGGTCCCTGTACCTCCGAGGCACTGCACAGTGGGGCCGGGATCCTGGAAGGGTCATCCTGATCTTTGGTCCTCGCTCTATCATGCCTCGAGGCACTTAGTGGGTGGCCCCACGTGCGTGCAGAACAGTCAGGAGGGGAAAAAACACACAGACACAATTCACCGTCGATTCCCCAGAAAATAGTGGAAAAAAGGGAATTGGGCGGGAAGACAAAAACCCAGAAAATATGGGAAAATATGGGGCATCTTTTTATTTATGTGTATTTATTTGTGTGTCCCAGGGCCCCTTCAAACAGGGCGGAGGCGGGCAACGACCTATTTGTGTGTCCCAGGGCCCCTTCAAACAGGGCGGAGGCGGGCAACGACCGAGGAACTCCCCTCGAGCCTCGGCAAGGAAACTGAGACCAGCATCTGCCAAGCCAGCGCCCTCGGCCAGGCAGGAGGAGGAGGAGGAGGAGGAGGAGGAGGGGGAAAAGGAAAAGACGGCGAGCAGACGCCAATATGCAGGAGGAGAGGTGGGCAGCAGAGGGCACGGGCGTTTTTTCCTCCGCGGGGCGCCCACTCTTGCTCCGCGAGCCGGGCGGAAGGCTGCACGCAGTGGTTGCGGAGCTCCTCGCCCCACCGGTGGCAGGCGGGTCTCGACGGGGCTCTGGAGGCGGACCTCCGTGTGCGTCGAGGCAGGGGCGTCAGGGCTCGGCTGCGCTGGCTGCCAGCTCGGCCCGTGCGCGTGCGGCTCGCCGCCCCCCGAAAAGCGCACAGACAGAACACAAAAAGGCACATTCGGCGCAGACAGCGAAACAACAGCGGGAACAAGACAGCCCATCCCCTACTGACGTTCCTCCTCCTGCCCCGCGCCTCCCGTCCCGATGTATCCCTCACACTCCTGCCCATCCCTTCCAGGGTCCTCTCTCCCCGCCCCCTCCCCCCACACAACCCACCCCACAGCCCACACCCCCGCAACTCCGCAGCATCTCGCCCTGCCGCCCCCCCCCCTCCCTCCCCTCTGCTTCCCGCTCCAGGCTGGGGCGTGATGCAGGAGGAGCTCGCAGACTGCACCACGCGGTCGCCGGGGGAGGGGGGCCGAAGAAATCGTGGGCGGGCCCCCGAGGAGAGGGGAGCAGCCAGGGGAGCGCTCGCCCGCTGCCGCGAGCTGTGCTGGCACCTCGCGGGGTCGAAGCGCGCTGCCGCGAGGGGTCGGGGGGAGGAGCAGGAGAGACAGGAGCAGAGGCGGCAGCGGCAGCAGGAAGCGGAGGAGGGGGATGAGGAGGGAGGGAGCGAGGGAGGGGGGGCAGAGCAGGGAAGAGGAAGAGGAGGAGGAGGAGGAGGAGGACGACGACGACGACGACAACGAGGTCTTCCGCCGCACGAGAGCCGCAGCGCTTGTGTGATGTCTTGGAGGACCCCAGGGTTCAGATGCTGTCAGTGTTGTCTTTCAGAGGGGCTTGGATGGTGTGAGGGAGCAGGAGGATGGCGGAGGAGGAGCGGAGGGGGGCGAGTAGGTGGAAAAGGAGGCTGGAGAGCAAGAGGGGAGTGAGAAGGAGGATGGAGTAAAAGGGAGTGGATAACGATGAAGATGAAGACGTGAAGGAAGGCAAGGAGGAGGAGCCTGATCAGTGGGAGCAGGAGCCTGAGAAGCACAAGGGGGCAAGGGAGAGGGTGAAAAGAGTAGAGGAGCGAGCGAGCGAAAAAAAAGGTATGCGAGGGCGCCGAAAGGACGTGCAAAGGCACGCCTTGGCGTGTCAGATGCAGGCTTTGGGCTCGCGAGGTTTTAGTAGCTTAATACGTAATGGTTTCAGCCCTCCGTTCCATCTTGGCAATGTGAACGTGGCTCCTCCTGTCGGGTCGCAAGCATGAGATTCGCCCGTGTCTTCCACCGTTTCGCCGCGCATGGGTTCGATGGCATGTCGCAGGTGGCACGGCACGTCCTCATCCACGGGCAAGGAGTCGCTCAACATTGAACGTTTCCCATGGGATCTGAGGGTTCTCCGGCCGAGCCGTGGTCTTCTTTTTTGTCGTCCTTCGCCCGCCCGTGCCCCAGCGCCTCAATTTGCGACGGATGCAGCCATCCGTTTGCTTGACCGCTTGTGGGACCCAACTCGCCACAGACCAGCAGAAGTTGTCCATGGGCAGTTCCCGTCGGCCAGATCGCGGGGTCGCAGTCTTTTGGGAACGCCCGCGAGAGGCGGGGCCGCCAGACCCACGGACGTATTCGAAGAGAGCCCTCGGCGGGTTTGGCAAGCCGTGTACGACCTGCCGGTGCGTCGGCGATTTCCCGGGCCGTGGTCGTTGCGATCTCGTTTTGCAGCAGAGGCGGAACGAAGCCAAAGCGTTAAGTCGGGCCTGTCCCCCTACAGGGGGATTTTCGACGAAAAATGAGAAATACCCACAAAAGTACCCCCAAAAAAAAGGCTAAAAAATATTCAAAAAATAGTCCCCAGGCTATTTTTGGATTATTTGTTTTATTGTTTTTGGTGTATTTGCTATTTTTCGTCAAAAATCCCCCTGCAGGGGGACAGGCCCGACTTAAAGCCGAAGCGAGGGAGCGCAACAACGAAACGAAGACGAACACACACGCTGCGCAGGTCGAGCCCTGCTGGCAAATGTGGCCACGCCGCGCCGCGAGAGGGGGGCGGGGCCCCCAGAGGATTGGCAATCGCCAGAGGATTGGCAATCGCCAGAGGATTGGCAAACCCCAGAAGATGATTAGGCAAATCCTCAGAGGATTGGCAATCCACAGTGAAGACAGGCCAACCGAAGAGGAGTGGCAATCCCAAGAGGACTGGCAGTCCGAAAAGAAGACAGGCCAACCGAAGAGGAGCGGCGGGGCCCCCGTGTCGGGGGGCCCGCTCGGGCGTCAGAGCCCCGTCACACGGAGCCCTCTTGCCGCCCACAGCTGCGCGAGCTCTCCTCCTCCGCGGAGGCCCTCGCGCCTCCCGAGAGGCCTTGCAAGCCTTCTTCGAAGCCACGTGCGGTTTCTCAGAAGGCCGGAGGGCCTCGGAGAAGCCCCGCCGCCGATATTTGCTCAAAACACGGTGTCGGATATTGTTGACGGGTGATGTTACTACAAGCATTGCGCCTACCACTACTACTCTCGTTGTGGCCACGCATTGCACCAACATTGTTCTTACGAATACTGCGGAACATCATCACATTGTGCCAATGTCTCTCACTGCCACAACTTCTGGCGACAGTGAACTTGCATGCGCTTGTACATTTGCACATGCATATGCACATACACGTCCCGATTTGCGTAAAAGCTGCACTGTTCCAAGACAATCCTTCACGCTTCGCGTATCCCCACCAGTTCGCCCGTGGCCCGGACGTCGCCTCCGCTCCCTGACCGTAGTCTCGGGGCCGCTGACCAAAAAGTATCCCCACCAGCCTATTCAGAAACCTTGCCCATCAGAGCTGACGGGGAAAAGGGCGACGAGACACATATAGTGAAACAACGCGGGCAACCAAGGTGAACAAAGATTCTTTGGGAGCAAGGGGGTGGTCCTGGAGGGTCTCTTCGGACAAGTGAGTCTCAGCTAGGAGCGGGTCTGAGGAGTGTCAGTGGGTCTGGGCGTGGGCGAATCAGGGAACTGGCAGGACTGAACACTCCGAGTGCGAATACCTCAACACGAGTGGCTGAGCACGGGCGAACCTGAACTACGAGTGGGTCTGAACGCGAGTGCCTCTGACATGGTGCGTGCGTTTGTGACATTGTGTGTGTTTTCGGGGCGTGTTAGGGGCATCCTTCAGCATCAACTGGCCTCCTGGAGCCGTCTGGGGCCTCCTCGGTCTTGGCCTCCCGGGGTTGCCCAGGGCTTCCTCGTTCGGCCCACTGGGGCCTCACGCATCTCCTGAGGCCTCCTGGAGTCGCCTGCAATTTCCCATACGGCCAGGAGAAGGACGACAGGGAAAGACAAGGGAGGAGGAATGAGGAGGTAGGAATCCGCGAACGGGCGTCCTACCCCAAAAAACGTACTCAGCCCCCCCGTGGGGGCGAGGGAAGGAGGAGGAGGAGGAAGACGACGACGACGACCACCACCACCACCACCACCAGCACAACGGCGAGGAAGATGAGGAAAAGGAAACAGAAAACGATAAGGGCAAGGATGAAGACGAGGAGGAGGACAACGAGGACAAGGACAGAGCCCTCAAAATCGCCTCTTGGAGCCCTTGGGGACGCTTTGGGGGGACCTTGGGGTCCTCTTGGAGCTCTTTCGGGGGGTCTCGGAGCCCTCTTGGGGCCCTCGTGGAGCCCTCTTGAGGGTCCCTTGGGAGCCCTGCAGGCCCATCTTGGAGGCCATCGATTAAAAAGGGGGGGTTCTCGATTTGCCTCTCCCCCCCTTGGGGCCATCAAATTCGCCTCTTGGGGCGCTCTTGGGACGTTCTTGGGCTGGTCCTGGGCGCTCTTGGGGCCGTCTTAGAGGCCTCTTGGGGCTCTCTTGGGCCAGCTTGAGACAATCTTGAGGTCTCAAAAGCGAATCGGAAGCGAAAAGACTAGAAGGCAAAAATCATTGACCTCCAATTGTTGTTTGAAGGAGTTGGGCCTCTTGGGGGGATCCCGTGGGGGCTCCGAGAGCATTTGCAACCGTTTTGTGGCCCTCGTCGGGCTTCTTGAAGCCATGTCGGAAGTTCTATTGAACCGTATTCGGCTATCTTGAGCCAACCGCCTTGGAGGCCATTTTGGAGCATCAGAGGCCCTCTTGGAGCCATCTTGGGCGAACAAAGACCCTGGGCCACCTCGCGGGCCCCGCCAAAAAACCTCAGGAGGGGAGGGGGAGGGCAACCCTCTGGATGGTTGTTTGGAGAAGGAAAGAAAGAACTCGCTAGACCACCGCAGCCCAAAGGGCTGGTGGGATTATAAACAGGCAAATACGAAGCATGTGCATGCACGCTTACGTGCACATACGTATGTACGCGTACTTTCCCATGTTCTAGCACGTACATATACTGGTACGTTCAACTAACGCATACGTCTACGTACACATGCGTGTACGATCACAGGTGTGCCTATGTGTATGTGTAATTGTGCATATGTATGTCACATACGTGTGGTGCGCATTCAACCACGCATCCGCACTTAAACCTAAAGTCGTTAAAACACGCTAACATGTACACCTACAACATCCTCACACCTGCTCTCATCCAACTGCTGCTCACCATCGCGTTCCTGATACATTACCTTTGATCCGTCCTCCTCCGCCTCCTCGCCCTAAGTATATTGATCCTGCTCCTGTTCATCCGCCGCCGCCTCCTTTCACTCCCCTTGTCTACATCATTGCTGTCCTTGTTGGCTCTCCCCGACATCTGCTCGATGCTCTGGCCCGTCTTGTCAGATGCAGACTCCATGTGGTGTCCATGCTGTTCCTGCCGGCGCTCTACTTCGCACGCAGCGTCTTGACTTACAGGCGAGAAGGGCTCCTTCTTCGCCAGTTTCTCTCCCCTGCCTTTCCCTTCAATGGAGAAGAGAGAGAGAGAGGAAAAAAAAAAAAAAACGACAAAAAGAGGACGTAGGAAAAGGGGAAACGGAAGAGGACGAGGATGCAGGGAATGGTTCGACAGGATGTCTCTCCCTCCACCCATACTGCCACCCTGCTCCCACTTCCCTTCTATCTCTCCCCCGTCCCGCCTCCCACCACACGAAGCCCGTCGTGATCAACGCCGTCAAAGATATCATGCCAATGGCGACCTCCCAGGTTGCTGGCCTCCAGGAGGCCGCGGACGCTATCGCGGGCAAGGAAGGCCGACGACCGCCCTTTCGTGAAGGAGGGGCCGGCAGAGTCTGGCACGCCAGTGCAGTTCCAATGCACAGCAGTGCCGGGCCTTGGAGACTCGCAGGTCATCCTACACTTACTCCTCACTCGTCGCTCCCGCGTCAGCCCCTGGAGTGGGCACTTCCTCGTCGACAGCAGTCTGGTGCTATAGCCGCCTATCGGGAGCGGTGACTGGGGAGCGGCGCCGCGCTACCGCACTGTCTGTGCTACATCGTGACAGCACCCTCGCACGGACAGTTGCGCGCGAGCGCGTCGACGCGCGCAGCAGTGCGCGTCCCAGGGCACTGCTGGCGAGGGCACGCCCGGAGTCACTAAACATGTGACATCAGCTACCAGGCTCACCGTCACGAGCCCGACAGCGAACAGCGACACGCAGAACCACGCGGCCGTCATGGCTGCGCGCGACCACGTGCTTTGGGCAAGGACAGCTGGCCGAACCAGCTCCCCTCGCGCAGCTGCCAGCAGCGCGAGCCCCGCCGCGCCTGCGTCGGAGCGGCAGGAAGCGCGCGTGCTTCCGATTGGCACAGCACCGTCCTTGTCCTCCGAAGCGCACTGTGCAGCATAAGTGCTCGTGCGTCTTGACCGCCACCACCACGTGCCAATGGGCTTGAGCACGTTTGAGTCCGATGTACCGGCGGGAAGGCACTGGGCGACTGAGCTGCGACGAGCACCGCGAGGGTGACCCGACCACGCGTCCATCGCAGATCTCGACCAGCACGAGCACCACCGAGAAGCCGTGCCATGCCGTCAGTGGCCGACCAGCCTTTCCGTCGATTGCATGGTTTTCTTGCATGGCAGGAGATTGACGCCACTCGGAAAACAACATGAACGTTTTCTTCGCGAAGCCCAGGCAGGCACAACGCGCCAGCTGCTCCACTGGCGTGATGCGTGCGTGCCTGGCTTTGGCACTTCAGCACCGCCTGCACTACGAGGCGCCAGCACGACAGCACGCCACTACAGAGGTCAGTGCTGCATCACCGGCCACGCTTCCTTACAGACCAGCCAGCATGCATCGCGGCGGCCTGGCACACTGGCCACGCTGTGCTGCCGACAAAGGGGCGGCTACGAACAGCCGAGGTAGGCACCTGCGACATTGTGCGGCTGTTGGCCACCTCCAGACAGCACGCGCCGCGTCGGCGCCACTAAGCAGTCACCAGACCAACATGCGGACCAGTCAACAGCTGTGATTTGTAAGTGTTAGCAACTAGAGGCACGCTGCCGCAAACAGCTGGCCGAGCTGCACAAGCGCGCACACGAAGCAAGGCGCTCGGGCGCTCCCCAGCTACACAGCCGCGCAGGCGCTCACAAGAGTGCCGAAGGCGAGCGGCCAGCTACTCCGGCCGGCACCTACTCACACAAGAGTGCCGAAGGCGAGAAACCACACCAGCAGCGCGCCGAAAGTAGAGCCAGGGAGCGAACCTGGCCTGAAGGCACGATCCGTGCCGCGGTTCGAGCGCACGCCAGGCACGATCTGCGCTGGGCCCCCACGAGCAACCGCTCCTGGCTGTAACACAAAATCGGCCGGTCGCACTGGGTATAGAGATTGTCCCTGGGCCCTCCCGACGGTGGGGAGTCGCTACGATCCACAACCCTGGTCAGGATCGGCTCAGCTCATCTCGCGCACAGGCTGACCACAAGCGTGCCGGCAGGGCTCCCAGGGTTCACGGTATTCCGTTCGGGCTGGGGTTCCTGAGCCATGGGCGAGGTGTGCCGGGGCGTCCAGTGCGATGGCCACGCGGCGAATATTACAGCATCTAATTTGGGGT